GACGTTGGTGAACCTTTGCAACGCTTATGTCGAGCAAGAACACATACCCGAGATGATAGAATTGGTAATGTTTGCTAAACGTTACTTCGAGGGATATAATCTGTTCGACAGAAACGCAGTGGGAAGAAGAAGCGTGTTAGCGAAGGCCGGTGTGATTAGCGCTCTGGCGAGCCTCGCTGAAATGGACAGCCAGAACTGCAAGGAATTGATAGCCCGCATTTTCAACATGATATGCTGTCCGCGCGAAGTGAGAGAAATAGTGATTCAACAAGGCGGCCCGAAGGCATTGTTATCGTTAGCGCTGAACGGCACGGACAAGGGAAAAAAGGAAGCTTCGGAAGCCCTGGTTCTTCTGGGACTCAACAAACATCCTAAGATTGCATTTCCCGGTCAGATGATGATGGAGGTTGTTCGGCCGATCATAAATCTCCTAAATCCGGAGTGTTCCATTTTGAAGAATTCTGCGACTCTATTAGTTTTGTGCGACCTTGCCAAAGTCAACGGCAGCATGCGAGAACATATATGCAAGGAGGGAGTGTTTCAGAAGATCGATACCTTTCTGAATGACGAGGATAATGGTTTGAAATGTGGGTCCCTAACACTTATAAACCTGTTGTTTTTAAGCCATGAAGTCGCCGTCCAATATTTCGAGCAGGACAATTCTCGAGTTAAACATCTTATGTTGTTGTGCAAGAACGCGAATGTACTTATTAGCTTGTCAGCAGCTATAGCTCTAATGATGCTGACAGAGGCGAACAAAGGGGCTTGCAAGCAGATTTACGATTCGAATTTCTGTCTGGAATCTCTACGCTTTTTACTCACTAGTCCATACAGTGAGGTGCAAGAAAAAGGTATTTTAATTGTGACAAATATGATTAGAAGCACGAAAGACGTCGCTGCAAAACTTGTGAGAAAAGGCATTATGAAACTACTGACGGTATTGAGCAAAAGTGATACCGCGCAAAACAAGGTCAAGGATTTGGCATTCCTTGCTTTGGAGGAAGCTGCGGAACGACGAGAAGAACGTCGAGAAGCAATCATTGACATGATAAGACGTGATAGAGAACGTCGATCAGGACATGTTACATTAGATCTGCCAAACTATTTCCTAAGGGAGCTAGCTTACTGTAATGTAAACTTATATTGAAGATGTACCCAAAAACATAGAATTCGTAAGAGTACAAACTGGACGACGATGATTTTATGGAAAAAAAAAATATTATTTGAGATTCCCCATTATATATTCCTTATATTTTAAATAAAATACTTTAAATAATAAAATTAATGTTGCTTTTAAATTTCTGCAATTTTGTCGTTTCATCGTATTTAACGTATATTCACGCAATCATATAATTATTATTTATATATCTTTAAATATATGATTACTGTGCAAGATATATATAGTTTATTTTCAAGTCATTGCATATACATTTGGCTAATATTAACAGTGCTTTTAATAGTGTTTTTAAGTGATTAATTACTAGCCAAAAAATCACTTACAGTATTAAATTTCTATAAGGGATTAAGTCATACAGAGAGTTTAATTAATGATAAAGTTCTACATCAGTTTTCTTTTGTCCTTTTTTTTTGTAGATATGTATAGAGGCATAATCAACATCTGCTGTTACGAAGCCTGTCCCAACAGTAACGAGACCTATTGTTTTCAAACGTAACGCGGCGATTTCCGACATCAAAATTACAGCCCGATTTGAAGCTCAGTGTTACCATTATTTTACTTCAAAGAGTGCTAGTCTTGTTATTTTTGAGACAGGCCAATCGTATTCAATAGAGAGAGAGATCGATAATATATTTAAAAAAAGATTACACGCATACATATTTCTATGTATATATGTATATATGTATGAAAAATGTATGTATACGTGCATGTACGTATATATGCAGATGTACACATTGCACGCGTCGAGCCCGACATACTCATTCATGTATTTATAGTAGGACTCCCCGATTCTCGACTCGAGATGAAACAAATCTTTCTATTTCCGCTTACACAAGATGCCATCGCGCACGCACGCTTGATATTGTACATATAAGTATTATGTAGGTGTAGAACAAAAGGTGTTCCCAAATTAGCGACGATGAAATAGCGTGAAAGTTTATGAAAAACTGAGTTATAAAAGTTTACGTTTTTATTTTTTTAAATTCGTAACAGCAGTTTTTAATATGTAAGCATTTCGGACTTTATTCAATATTGGCTTGGATAATAATTTGTCTGCATGTAGAACCGGATAATACTAATTTTACGCGTTAAATAATTGAAATTACAAAAATATACGCGCTATTTGTGAATATACGACTATGGCTGCGATCCACTTGACGCTACAAATGCTTCGAAGCATTCCTCTTCTCTTTTCTTTCAATGAAGAAAGAAGGAGAAGAAGGACGCTCCAAAGAATTTGTAGCGTCAAGTGGACCGCAGCCTATGTAATTAATTGTACATCGTAAGTTTTATCAGATTTTCAATTTTTGTGGTTGAAAAAGATCATCGCATTTCAAAAGTTGAAGGAGGTTTTTTGCGTACGTGACCAGAGGGAAGCCTAAAAGAGGTCATCCCGGTCTTTTTCATGGGACCATCCAACCTGTATATATGCATTATGCAACCGTGGATACCCAGGTAGCAATTAATGTCTAAAAGACATCATAAAGACATCTTTAAGATTTCTGGCATCTTAAAGACATCTTTATGATGTCTTTTAGACATTAATGCTACCTGGGTATATGACCTCTCTCAGAGGTTTCTCTCTGGTGCTGTATTACCTTGCGCGTCATACAGTCGGTAAAAACGTTCGCTACCTGCCGGGCGATCGGTAATCCGACCGCCGCACGTTTTTTATTTTTTTTTTACGCGGTCGCGACAGAGCGGCGGCTGGCCGCTGACGGCCTGGCGGAGTGCGGAGTCCGCGTTGTTTGGCCATCACTCCCGAAAATGGCGGCCGTGCTGGACGAGGTCGGCAAGTCCGCCGAGAAACTCGTGGACGAGGAGAAGGACGAGATTGTCGACGGGGAGGACAAGACCGGGGCAGCAGAGGCCTCGAAGAAGAAGAAGAAGAAGAAAAAGAAGAAGAAGGCCGGTACGTTCTGTTCGAGTGTTTGCCTCTCATAAACCGACGAACGTGCTCCCCGGGTGTCACGCCTCGGTTTTTTCGCGCTTCTCGCATTAATTAAACGCATTTACTTACTCGTGTCGCGATATAATCGGTCGCGAAGTCCACCGAGACGATTTTAAACCTTCTTAAACGCTCGCAAACTCATTTCGCTTCCGTACATAATAATGCGAGTACGTCGGTTCATCGAGTTGCTTTTAACGTTAAAACGGAGCAATAATCTTGTCAAGTTTCAAGGCTCACGGGAATCGCTTCTCCGAATGCGATATTACGTGGAAATATTTCGTATTTATATACGACATTGGTAATTGCTGTGTGAAAATTGATTCTCTCGCACATATCGTTATTGAATTGTATTTCAGTCTGAACATGTGAGTTGAAAGTGATGAATATGAAGCAATTAGTTGTACATTGGAGCATTGTGACTCGCAGGAAGAAAGATACATATTTTATGTCTCCAAAATGCTTTTGTATCCTCTTTCTTTGATTCTAAGCTTACATCTAATTAGAAGTTCCATATTTTATGAAATTAAGAATTCCATAAAATTTATATATATGCTAGCTTTCATAAAAGAAACTGCGTTCTTGATCTCATTGCGTTATTTATCTTATTGATAATAAATATTTTCGTACATCAGGTGCTGGAGAAGCTAGTGCAGATGTGCCAGAAGGAGAAGAAGAGAAGGCTAAGGATGACGACGCAGTGGCCGAAGGTATCGCTTACAGTTTCTAGTTCCTCTAATATTTTTTATGCAACACGTACATGGAAAGTGCCCCATTACGCACGCTACGCATGCGTGATAGACCACTTTCCAGGCACTTGCAACATAAAATAGGGAGTGTAAGTCGTGTGTAAAGATGAAAATTCCCGGGTGCGGAGTTTATGCACGAGCCGAAGGCGAGTAAACTCCGCACCCGGGAATTTTCATTTTACCTCATTTGTTACACAAATAACTATATAAGTACAACTACAGGCTTCAACGTTTATGATTCGATAACAATAACAAATTGTTTGGTTAAATTTTTAGGTACCACAGAGGTAACCGTCGTAACCGAGAACAACGGTGAGAACGAGGAGGCCAAGAAGAAAAAGAAGAAGAAGCGCAAACCCAAAGATAAGGGCGGTATTAAACAGCAGACGGATCCGCCGAGCATTCCCGTGTCAGAATTATTCCCGGACGGTAATTTCCCGGTGGGGCAAGTAATGGTTCACGGATCCGCTGGGATAGACGACAGGATGGCAAAGATGCGCTTCACAAGCGAGGAGGCGCGTGCCCTCGACAGAATGCACAATGATATTTACAACGAGGCCAGACAGGCGGCCGAGGCACATCGACAAACCAGAAAGCATATCATGAAATGGGTATGTAAAGTCTGTGTGTTGTTGCGGAAACGCAAGTTCTCAATTCTCGAGTTTGGGTTACATTAAGGCTGCGGTCAACGTGACGCTACAAATGCTTCGAAGCATTCCTCTTCTCTTTTCTTTCAATGAAGAAAGAAAGAGAAGAAGAACGCTCCAAAGCATTTGTAGCGTCACGTTGACCGTATCCTTATCTTAGGCTAAACTTCGAGATATATCTGTTGCGTGAACAATATAAATTTAATGTATACATTAATATACGTTCATTATATATATTAATTGATTTAATATATATTTCTTTAATAAATTCCGCAGATCAAGCCGGGAATGACTATGATAGAGATTTGTAACGAGCTAGAGGATACCGCTCGGAAATTGATAGGGGAGGACGGTCTCCTGGCTGGATTGGCGTTTCCAACCGGTTGCTCCCGCAACCACTGCGCGGCCCACTACACCCCAAATGCCGGTGATCCGACTGTTCTCGAGTATGATGATGTCACCAAGATTGACTTCGGTACTCACATCAACGGACGTATCATCGACTGCGCGTTCACTTTGACATTCAATCCTAAGTACGACAAGCTGATCGAGGCTGTCCGTGATGCTACCAATACCGGTATCAAGGCCGCCGGTATCGACGTGCAATTGTGCGACGTCGGTGCTGCTATTCAGGAAGTTATGGAATCGTACGAGGTGGAACTGGATGGCAAGACGTATCAGGTATGAAATATAGAATGCAATATATGCAAAGTATCTCTCGATCCCGTTGTTTAATTTTTTTCTTATTTGGATTTATGATTATCCAGTTATCTTTGATAGTAAGTTGCTTAGTTGATTTTAGTGAATCATCGAGCTTTGAAAATAAAACTCCTGGTTTAATCGTAAGTTCCTAAGCTTCAATTCGACACGTAATTGTGAAAATATTTCAAACAAAATTAATAACGAAAATCAGTATTAAAACCACAGATAGTAATAGAGATTTAATTAGATCGAATCTTTTGTAGGTGAAATCAATTAGGAATCTGAATGGCCACTCGATCTCCCCTTATCGCATACACGCTGGGAAAACGGTGCCGATAGTCAGAGGCGGCGAGGCGATTCGAATGGAGGAAAACGAGTTTTACGCGATCGAAACCTTCGGATCTACCGGTAGAGGCGTAGTTCACGATGACATGGAATGTTCGCATTACATGAAGAGTTTCGACGCCGGTTTCGTGCCATTGAGACTGCAAAGCAGCAAGTCACTTCTTAATACTATCAATAAGCATTTCGGTAAGAAGCTCAACGAACACTTGATTGGCTTAAAAGAAATAATAATTAACAGCGTAATCTTAATGCTCGAACATTCGTGTTTCAGGTACTTTGGCTTTTTGTAAACGCTGGTTAGACCGCGTCGGTTGCACCAAGTACCAAATGGCGCTGAAGGATCTCTGCGAGAAAGGTGCCGTGGAAGCGTATCCGCCGTTGGTCGACGTCAAGGGCTGTTACACCGCTCAGTTCGAGCATACACTCGTTCTGCGTCCCACATGTAAAGAAGTTATTTCCCGCGGTGACGATTATTAAATCGGCCGTTGTTTTATGTGAATTATCAACGGATGTCAAGATGTATTTTAATCTCGATGTACCATCTTTGTCAAAAGCATCGCGTTCCGCAATGTGCGATGCGGTAAGAGTAATTATTACAATACGTTAGTAACTTGGCATTTCTGAGTGTGATGTACTATCCGTAGCTTTATTTTTTTTCTCGATCGTGAAGAAGTATCGCAGCGACAGTGCGAGTTTCGACGTAAACGATAAAAACGTACCCGGTAACATCTATCAAACATCAGTAGGCCTATTCTGTAGCTCTTAACGTTTCGTTGTCGTTATATTTGCGTTGCACAGATATTATATATAGTAAAAAAGCTGCGCAACGACAATATAATGATAAACTGTCGTTAAGAGTTACAGAATGGGTCCGCAGGTGTTTCCGTGTCGTTTAGTGACACATCTCTTTCGACTTTTCTTTCTTTTATTTCTACAGGCATCTATACTTCGAGAAAAAGATCTATATTCGCTGTTATATTTCTCGCAACGTTTTTTTTTATTATTGATTTCTTACACGTTGGAATGGAAATGATGGGGTTGATGTTTAGTGTTGAATAAAATATATTTGGAATCCGAGATTTTATCATTGTGATGATCTCTCTTAAGGTCCTGAATATCGTGATTAAGTTTATATTAAAACATAGAGTTTAGCCTATACATACATACGACAACTGTACAAAAAAGAAACGAAAGTATCCTCCATTTGTGGCTCCTCTATTAGTTGGATATATTTCCTTACGCATTTAAGCGCGAGTTATATATATTATAAGATTTTCATGGATCGGTTGGTAAATTAAAGTTGTAACAAACTTAACGGCTTACATCATTTTCGACCTAAGATGCTGCGCACCTTCGCAGGATTCGTCAAACATAATGAGCCACGAAATACAGTTAATATTAACGTTGATTCGATACTTAAATACGATTAATAATAATTGTTACTATGCAAGGCAGACGTCGGATTTCTTTTACTGCCGTGTAACGAAGAACACATGGTCCCGCGGAGTTCTGACTTGTTTGTCTCTCGTCTCCTAGCGGAAACTACTATTACTTCCAGTGGCATCACTTCGGTATAATCGTAACGATGTAATTTTGTTCAATTCGCATAAGATTACTTGGAAATGAGTTTTAAACGATCCGTCGTTATAGCTGTACTGACTCGCGACATCAGAAGTCACCGCGACAAATCGGAAACTTTAACGGCAAGTGCGATTAGTTCCACGTATTTTCGCGGAATTCGTCTCTATACATTTATCGCGAATATGTTCATTTATTCATATGATGTATTTAGTGAGAATGCGGAGGACGAAGTAATGCCACCGGCGATCTAAGCTTCGTACAAAATACACTCTTTCTACGTGCCCGAAATCGCGTCGAAGATCGTGGGAACCACTGCCGTGATTTCTGAGAGGAAAGGGAAGGGATCGTCGTCTTCAGCACGAAGAGAACTAGTCCAGAGGCACGGATACTTATCGCGAATGCCCGGACATTCGCGATTCATGACTCGTGCTCGAGCGATTAATCCTAAACGGTGCAGAGCGGTATTATTTTACTTGTAACGAAGGAATAGATTTTATTATCATTATGCAGACGAATGCCTCGAGATCCTTGGGAAATACTCGCAGTCAGCGATTTTTACGAAGTAATTTTGAACGTTATCAAATTAAAGAGAACGTTACATATCGCTTAAGATCAAAGGCTCGCAGCAGAGATAGTTTCCCATTTAAGTAACCGACAAACATCGTCCACGAATAAATTCTTTCGCGTTATCTCGCCGTCTACTATCTATTGTCGATCTGTTTCTACTGTTACTATCACGCCGCCGATGCCTTCGCGACGAAATGTCCGCCCTCGTAAGAAAAAATACATCGGTTATTATATTCAAGTCGACGCGTTCGCGCGTACAATACAACATAATTACCGCATTTACGATAATTAATCGTATATAATAACGTTATCGCGTCGACGTACTAATTGGTCGTCAAACTAAGCTCGGCACACGCTGATCTATTATTAAACGAAGACACGTGGTTGATTGCTGATTGTATTGTACGTCGAGATACCAGATATATGTAATGCGTTTTACGAGAACAACTTGCGCGCTGCTTGATCCAGGGCAATACGCAAACGACACCATAATTTACGGCGCCTAAACCGACGCGTCGTAAAGATAGA